GGCCGAGGTGAAACAAAAAATGGCAGAAGCCCTCAAAGGCATCAATATTGACAAGTTCAGAAATGGTTTGAGTCGTGGAAAAAGCATCTTAAGAGGTGTGTTACATCAAATGGAGAGTACTTTGAAGGTGATTGAAGTTTAAACAACACAATTTTTTATAAGCAAATTCTGTTTTGGAGGGGAGTCCCCCCTTGTATCCTAAGTTAAAAGACAGTAGTCAATTTGGCAAATAATATTGTTAGGTTCTGTGCCAAGGAATGCCTGTCCAATCTATTTTGCTACCCAACTCCCAACAAATTTAAATTTTTTAAAATGGGGGTATACGTACACTAAAGTGTACAAATCTTTTTTTTTTTTTTGAGTTGGAGTCTCACTCCGTCGCCCAGACTGGAGTGCAGTGGTATGCTCCCGGCCACTGCAGCCTCGACCTGCTGGGCTCCGGCAATCCTTCCGCCTCAGCCTTCCAAATAGCCATAACTACAGGCACACACCACCATCCCCGGCTAATTTTTTGATGTATTGTAGAGACAAGGTCTCGCCAAGTTGCCCAGGCGGGTCTTGAACCTGCGGGCTCAGGCAATCCTCTCTCCTCAGCCTCCCAAGGTGCTGGGATTACAGGCTGAGTCACCGAGCCCGGCCAAAGTGTACAAATCTTAAGTGCACAGGAAGATGAATTTTTTTTTACATATGTGTACACCTAGACAACTAACTACCTTCCACGTCAAGGCATGGATTATTTTCACCATTCCAGAAAGTTCCCTTGTGCTGTTTCCTGGTCAGTAGCTCCACCCCACCAAAGGCTACCACCATTCCATTGTGATTGTCCAGCCTACCCTTGAACTTTACGTAAATAGAAGCATAGAGCATACACTCGTTTGTATCTGGTGCTTTCACTCAAGACGGTGATGGGATTAAAATATGTTGTAGTAATTCTTTCGCCTTTTTTTTTTTTTTTTTTTGAGTCAGAGCCTCACTCTGTTACCCAGGCTGGAGTGCAGCCACACGATCATGGCTACCACAGCCTCGACCTGCTGGGCTCAGGCGATCCTTTTGCCTCAGCCTTCCAAGTAGCTGGGACTACAGGCACGCGCCACCATGCCTGGTTACTTTTTTGTTTTATGGTAGAGACAAAGTCTCACGAAGTTGCCCGGGCTGGTCTCAAACCCCTGGGCTCAGGCAATCCTTTTGCCTCCGCCTCGCAAAAGTGCTGGGATTACGGACCTGAATCACCGTGCCTGACATTGTTTCACTTTTACTGCCATATAGTATTCCACATTTGAAATGCTCTGTGGTCTTGTATCGAATGCCTTCTATTTTGCATATAGTTGGGGCTGATAATGACATTTGCTGGCATGACTGCTGGCCACAGACTGGAATGGTGCTAAGTATATTATATCGCTTCATCTTTTTTTTTCCTATTTCCCAAATGTCTTTATTTTATTTTTTATTTTCATAGATTTGGGGGTACCAGTGTAGTTTTGTTACATGACCTATTGCATAGTGGAGTATGGGGCTGTTGGTGCCCATTACTCGAACAGTGAACACTGTACCCAAGAGGTAATGCTTCATCCTTCGTTCCCCCCTCCCACTTTTTGGGTCACTAATGTCTGTCATTCCACTCTGTATGTCTTGTGTACCTATAGTTTAACCCCCATTTAAAAGTGGGAGAACATGTGATATTTGACGTTCTGTATCTGAGTTATCCCCTGGAGGCTAATGGCCCCCAGTTCCATCCATGTTGCTGCAAAAGCCACAGTTTCATTCTTTTTTTATGGCTGAGTCGTATTTAATGTTTTTCACAGCATGAGATTAGTACTACCATTAATTCATCTTATAGGCGAGATAACTAAGGCTCAGTTACTTGCCCAAGGTCTCACGGCTAATACGAGTGAAACCAGTGTCTGGAGGCCTGTCCTTCTGACCACGATGCTGAGTCCCTAGCTGGAGTGTTATGCTGTCTCTCACTCTTGGTGTTCTAGCGATCATCACCGATGAGAGACTGGCCCCAGAGAACACGCAGTTCCCTTTGATTTCAAGGGTGTTTCCGTTTCCAGCCTCCCCTGCTTCCTCCTGTCCGATGGTTCTAAGGCATCTTCAGCCTTGCTGATGACCTGGTGAGGGGCACCTGTCAAGGTGCTATCTGAATTTGCCCAACTCCTTCCGATGGGCAGATCTGGGGAAGCGTGTTCTCGCTCAGATTACTGCCTTCCTACTAGAATCACCTTTTCTGCTTGCCAGCTCTCTGATTACTTCCAAAACTCCTGCCCTTGGTAAGTGCAAATAATAGAAGAATCTGTTCCACCTCGCGATTCCGAAATTGTCTCTGAAAAAATAATAGTCTGTTCTGTGGAAGGAAATGCTCCAATTTCCTTTGACTTTTGTGTCTAATAAACACTCAGCAGGAGGAAGTTTATTCTTAAATCCAAATAGCAGTGCTCATCTATGCTCATTTCCTCTTTTGTTCTGCTAATTGCAGATGGGAAATCGCTGGTCAGCCTCTTCCATGGTATCAACTAGAGTCGATTTAAACAGATAATCAGATGCTTTGCAGCAATTTTAAGTCTAGCTTTGATTCAATACCTAGGTAAAAAGCTTCCACCTGTGCTTAGGAGTAAGCATTCTTCTTTGTATTTTCATATTCTCCATGGTGCATGTGGATTTCAAAATCTGGATTTTCACTGGAGTTATAAAGGTGGGGAGGCAGCTAAATAATTCTAACAGGAAGTGAAGGTCAGAAGTGAAAAATGGGAGGCTCTTTGCTTAATCTGTCATCACAGTTTTTCATAAATCACATACAATCCACTTGTCTGGTTATCTTTCTGTAATTCTGATTTATAGTCCAGGGTTCATGCTGGAAAAGCCTCAAGAATTTATTCTTTTTTTTAAAGAGCTATAAACTTTCTGGATGAACAGTATGTTAGGGCAACCAAATGATTGATGAGAGAAAGGTTTTTTCTATGGAATAATGCCTTATAGAGGAACTAGAAATCACTGACTGGGCATGGTGGCTCACTCCTGTAATCCTAGTGCTTTGGGAGACTGATTTGGGAGCCTTGGTTGAAGCCAGGAGTTCGAGACCAGCCCTGGCAACATAGAAAGCCCCTGTGTCAAAAAAAAAAAAGAGAGAGAGAAAAGAAAGAAGGAAAGAAAGAAAATCATTGTTTTGTAATCCTGATGAATCAGTGGATCTAGCATGGTCAGTCATAGGTAAAATGATTACATGAAACATCAGTGAGGAACTTTTGTAATGGGGGTCAGGCTGCCAGCACCTGAGCCCACTCTGTCTTACCACCCACTAAAAGTAGACTGTGAGATATTATGCACCTGCTGAAGTAAGGCAGTAGAAAGCACTCCGCATCACCTAGGGAGTGTTCTTGCCAGTAGCATTGAACCTGAATGTAAGCATTGGAATACAGGGAAATACAGGCATTGACCCAGAGTTCTCAGCCATGACTGCACATTAGAATCACATGGGGGAATTTCTTTGTTTTTTGTTTTGTTTTTCCGAGTTGGAGTCTCACTCTGTCGCCCAGGCTGCAGTGCAGTGGCACACTACTCACGGTTATCCCAGCATTGACCTTCCGCTGGGCTCCTGCGATCCTTCTGCCTCAGCCTTCCAAGTAGCCGGAACTACAAGCATGCACTACCACACCCAGCTAGTTTTTGATTTTTTGTAGAGACGAGGTCTCGCCAAGTTGCCTGGGCTGGTCTCGAACCCTCAGGCTCAGGCAACCCACTCACCTTGACCTCCTAAAGTGCTGGGATTACAGGCTGAGCCACCGAGCCCGGCACATGGGGAATTTCTAAAGTCCCGGGCTGAGTCTCAGCTCAGACCAATTACATGAGAATCTCTGGATTTGAACATTAATGTACTTTTTTTAAAAAATGATGTTACAGTTTTGTTTTGTTTTTTAAATGATGTTACAGTGTGAGCCAAAGTTGGAAACCAGGGGAAGAGGGAAATGCGTTGGGACAAGACTTGAAATACAGAGTAGGAGAAATCCCACAGGACAAATTTGCCCAGTGATCTACCACATATATGTAGCATTAGAAAGGAGGTGGGGGAGGAGACACCACAGATTAGAAGAGACTTAAGAAACAGAGGTGAAATGTTACATGACACTGTTTTGATTCTGATTCATACAAATCAACCATACCAAGACATATTTTAGAGGATCAGGGAAATGTAAATAAAAACTGAGTATTAGAGACTAATAAGAAATGAAACATTCATTTTGTTACTTGTGCTGATGATTTTATGGTTGGTATTAGAAAAAAGTTTTTATAGGAAGAGATAGTAAAGTATTTATGGGTGAAATATGATGTCTGGGCTTTGTTTTAAAAGACTACGGGAAAAATGGTGAGAGAATGGACAAAAACAGATACAAAATGTTGGTAAAATGCTGAAAATCGCTAAAGTTGGGTGATGGGTACATTCATTTTACTAGTCTCTGTATTTTTGTGTGTTTTAAAAGTGTTCATAAGAAAAGGTTTAAAAGGAGACATAAGGGTGAAATACATGATAACAAATCGCTTGCATTTGATATTTTATCAGTGCACAATCTCAGAAGCCCATACGAGATACAAGCCTGCAACTAAACGAAGTCTAACCCTCTGTCTCTATGCAAAACAGTGCTTAGCTATTTTCAGAAAATTATTTATACATTGTTATTAATTAAGCTTATAAGTCAGGTGCGGTGGCTCATGCCTATAATCCCAGTACTTTGGGAGGTGGAGACGAGAGGATTGCCTGAGCTCAGGGGTTTGAAACCAGCCTGGGAATATGACGAGCCCTCGTCTCTACAATAATTCAAAATATCAGCTAGGCGTGGTGGCACATGCCTGTGCCTCCAGCTACTTGGAAGGCTCAAGCAGAAGGATCACCTGAGCCCAGCAGGTCGAGGCTGCGGTGGCCATGAGTATGCCACTCCACTCCAGCTTGGGTGACAAAATGAGATTCTGACTCAAAAAAAAATTATGCTTTTATATCTTATTTGCAGATGACTCGGGGCCTCCTCCTTCTACTGTTATCAACCAAAATGAAACTTTTGCCAAAGTCATCTTTAAGCCTAGTGTGGTGCAACAAGCCAAGATTGCCCAGAATGGCATTTTGGGAGACTTCATCATTCGATATGATGTTAACAGGGAACAGAGCATAGGAGACATCCAGGTAATGGGTTCACTGTTGCTCTTTCCTGTTGGTTGGTTGCTTGATACTTTTAGTTAGATTCAAACTGTGGATTCCACATGTAGCTAAGGGTGAAAGAACTGCCTGTTTCTTAGTAAATTTTCTTCAACCCAAAATACGTCTTCAAAGAGACTAGTGGTGTCCTTTTGCCGGAAGCGGAGGGTATCTATTTCCTGCCTCAGTCATCTGGAGAGCGAATGAAATCTATAATATAATGTTCCCCATGGTGCTTTAGATGAAGTTAGAAGTTTAGTTCATCTTCAATTTTAATTAAAAGAGACTGCTCCTTGGCTCATTTCCCTTTAGGTTTTATTGCTCCAGAGATAGGGTGGGAATATTAAAATATATTAATGTGCATCCGGAATGTAGACTAGCTAATGTCTCAACTTGTAAGATGCTTGGCAAAAACCAGATAATGAAGGAAGCAGGATTCTCAAATAGCAAGGGTCGGAGGGGATAGATAAATTAAAGATTGAATTAGTAGTCATAATCGATAAATTGTAAAGGGGTGGTTCTATCCTTATAAAGATTAAATTAGCAATTAGTTCTCTTAGAGGGATCCAGACGACAGATAATTTTGTTCTGGGTGTGGAATCTGACCCTAGACTCCGTGCTGTCATTGACTTTTAGGAGTTCTACAGACTATCCATTTTAGGTATTTTCCCTCCCTATTCTAGGTACTACCACTTTTATTTTCTTTTGCCTTCCTCCAGGTTCTAGATGGCTACTTTGTGCACTACTTTGCTCCCAAAGACCTTCCTCCTTTACCCAAGAATGTGGTGTTTGTGCTTGACAGCAGTGCCTCTATGGTAGGAAGCAAACTCCGGCAGGTGAGTGTGTGCTACTGCCCTTTCCTTCCTCTCTTGTTTTTGCCTGGGGCAGTGATCTGCTGTTTGAGTAATGTTCAGCTGATGCCAGATGTCAGTTTTGCCACCCAGCTCGTCCTGCCTACGGAGAACACTTCTGAGCAGACTCAGCTAAGCCATTGACTTGAACTGTTATTTCAGCATGGTGGTTGTAAGAGAACACAGGGACATGCTGTGGAAACGTCTTGAAATAACGGGCCCTGGCGGGGTGACTGAAGGAGTGAGACAGGTATAGAAAGCGAGGGCCACCCAGCAGCACCACTGTTGGTAGAATAATTTTGCTCAGTGATGATTCCTCTGAGAGCAAGGGAATAGAACCATTGAAGCCTCTTGGCTCATCCTTGGAACAAAGAAGTCAGGTCTCAATAATTTGGGTCTGATATTCTCACAGAATTTAGGGTAGGAGACCATTATGGGGTCATGTAGTCTATGTTGAAAATTAAGTTTCCTGAAAATACAACTATTTGCATATTTTGTACCAAGAGAAAAGGTTATTTCTTATCTCATTCTATTATCATAACTGTCAGAATTTTGCACTTGTAATATATCTCAAATTACCTAATGAAAAACAGATGAACGAATATCTCTACATTCATCAAAACTTGAATCTCTTAGCTTCTCCTTTAAAATTCATAATCTAATTTTTGTTTTTTCGAGTTGGAGTCTCACTCTGTCGCCCAGACTGGAGTGCAGTGGCCGCT